TGCCTTGTCATACTTTCTCCCATATGGAATTGTGACCTTGAACCAGTTCCACATGGCTTTTCCTTGTGTATCCTCTCTTCTCTCTCTTCCGGATTTGTATCTTTCCACATGGTAATATGGATTTGTTCTTCATTATGCCATTTCCCTCTCTTCTTGTTACTGTGGGTGACTTGAGTGGGTCACATTTTGATCACCCTCCTGGAGTTTTGAAGAAAGCAGTTCATACCCAGTATGCTCATAATGAAGATTCCTCCTGCCAAGATTACCCTAGGAAGATTTCCCATCTTTCTTTCTTCCTTGAACAGCACTGCTATCATCACTGTTTTCTGAAACTTCATTTCTGTTTGTGCCACATTTCTCCAATATTTGATCACATTTTTGTTGATGCTGTCTCAAGGTTTTGCAGAATAACCTTGGAAGTGCTGACTGCCAGGCATTGTCTGAAGAGGGTCGCATGATGGAGAGATCTGAGCTACCTCAGGGATCAGTGTTAATCAGCAAATGTTTTCATTTAAGAATGGCAAAATGTTTATTTTTCTAAATCTTTTATTTCTTCTACCTTTATTATATTAATTATTTTTTAAAAGACATTTTCATCAAGTCAGGCCCTTTGATTACTCTGAAATACAGTTCAGATAGGAATTATGGAATAAATGTTTAATTCTTAAGCATAATTGCCAACTGATAAGACTATGCCCAATAGTAAAAAAACAATACTTCTTTGTTATTTGTTTGTTAATGTTTGTGACCTCATTAGACACTGGTTAGAATTGATCATGACTTGGAAATTCTTATTTAAAATAACCCATAAGACAATGCATTTCAAATTAATATTCAAGTTTTGCACCTCTTGAATAATATATAATAATTATTCATTAAAAGCTGAGAATTCCCAGACCCACTGGATACATACTTTACTGTGGCCGAGCAGAGCAAAATTTAATGTAAGGTGTCTGCAATGACTACAGGCCTCAACACCCTGGGTAAAATTCTTGGATTGACTTGAGTTAGTACCTTTAGACATAATGAACAAACTAAATTTGGCTGTTTCATTTGCCTGTTGCATTGCTTATTCTTTATTTTGAGGCAATCTTGAAGTTACAGAAAGGTTGAACATATAGTGCAAATATCTTTTAACAAAACCATCAACCTGCCCCTTTATCCTTGAATACTTTAGTGACTATTCCCTAAAAAAAATGAGACATTCTCTTAAATAACCAGTTATAACCATCAAAATCAGGAAATCAATTTTATCATTTATTTCACGGACACTATACAACTTTGACAATTGTTCCAATTATATCCTTTATTAGCAAAGGACCCTGTTTAGAATCAGGCATCAGATTTATCATGTTTTCTTAGTCTTCTCTAACTGGGAATCCTGAGGTTTTGTTTGCCTTTTATAATCCTGACACTTTGAAAGATGATAAACTAGTTATTTTCTAGAATGTCTCTGAGTTTGAATTGGGTTAATGTTTTATCTTGACTAATCAAGGAAAAGGGTAGGCATCTTTGACAGGAATATCAGGCTGTGTCCTCTGCATTCTAATAAGTGGCACATAAATTCATTTTGTCTAAAAGCTGGTGATGTTAACTTTGATCATTTGATTAAGTGGATGTTTGTCATACACTTCCATTGAGTGTCAGTCTTCTTTCATTTGTAATCAATATGTATTTTGTAACCAATATATATTTATTAAAATCATTGTATTTATTTATTCTATTTATGTTAATAAAATTCCTTTATTTCAAATGGGAAGAAATCTGTCACTATTGATATTTATTTGGGAATCTACATTATCTGTATCTTGTTGGTGGAAAGGGCTTCAAGCAGGCTTCTGTGGTCTTTTGACACATCTCCTTCATCCTTTGAGCACTTCATATTTCTGACATACTAAGATGTTTCAGGCGCATCTTGTGCTTTTTTTTCTCTTCCATCCTGGACTCAACCCATTTTTGAAAGAGCCTTGATTCCTTTTGGTCAAGAATTTTGTTTGGAAACTGAAATCTTGGAATTAGACATGCTCATTGTTGATGTCAAGCTCTGAGAATGAAGAGGACATCTATAGGTACACACTTATGCACACACCACATATTTGTGTTTGTTCCTATGTAGTAAAATCATAATTTCATATCAAAATCTCCAATTTTAACCCAACACTACAGTTTCTTCCCTTCTCTGATAGTGAGTAACCAATTCTCATTATCCTCAAATATATACTTTTTTCAACAACTCTTTTGTAGTAACTAATGGCTGCCCCCACACAAAGAACCCCTCAGGCTGCACTGCTGTTGCCACCATCCAGCCCCCTTGGATGCTCACTCTACTTGCATCCCTTTTCACAATCTGCCTTAGGGCTTACATTACTCAAGTTCTGATATTATGCACAGGGCCCTGTGTCCCCTTCTCCATCTTCATGCTTAGCTTCCTCAGCTCAATCTGACAGAAGAGAAGGAAGAGAAAAGGAGGAGGTGAGGCGGACAGCTCCCTATTTATTTTAAGGGCAAAAGAAGTGCATGTCACCACAAACTGTGGAAACTCCTACAGTCCCACATATCACTGGGGCACTCTAAATTACTCACCTATAAATTGAGATTGGCTTCAAAAAAGAAATAATGCTAATTAAACTATAAAGCTGCCAATTAGGATCAGTATTCTATGTATTCAGTAAATATTGGGCTGAAACCCATAAATCTGAGCTCAAAGGAAAACGAATATTTTGCAGTTACACAGTCATTTAATGTACAGATAGAAAGTTTGGAAGATGAAAGCTCAAGGAACATTTGAACATCCCACACCTTTGGTAGTGATAGTGTATGAAAGAATTGCAGCAGTACCTTTCAGCAGATCCAGTTGAGGAAAGTCAGTGTATGAGGTATAAAATGCAATATAGATGACTTGGTATTTCTGGGCTCTAACTGTTACACTGCCATATATATACAAATAATGACTAATCATTTTTTCCAAAAGTTTAATTTTGGCACCTACAGCTACTAGAAATTATTTTTAAGTGGCACATTTTACATATTAACACTAATTGTGGTAAGAGCACCATTCATTGATTTCAATACTACCCAGTCCACTCACTCACTCAAATATTGGAGAATTTTGTCTCCAAAAAATACACATAATGACCTTTTATTATTATTCTCATAGATGGTTTTCAACTAGGTTTAGGCTTTTTGGTTTTTCTGGGTTTTATTTAACATATTTATTTCAACAAAGCTTAAACACTCAAAAAGTCCAGCTCCGACTTTTCTGGTTCCTTAGGTCAGAAGGCCTGGACGATTTCTGCATGCCAGCAAATGGACGAGGATGAGTAAAAAACAGACGAAGATGTATTAAGCATCATTCACACACTCTGTTCTCTTTCCACACTTATGATATCCAACATATATATATCACCAATCCAACACTACAGTTTGGAATATATATGTATCACCAATCCAATCCAGTAGCCGAAATTCTTCTGTCCAAGGAATACTAGAGACAACACCTCTCAGTTGCCTCTGAACCCAGCAAAGACCTGTTCCAGGATACTCTGCTGGCTCTCCTTTTCACTACCTTTCCGGGAGGAAGAAACTGCTTGCGGGATGACAGCCACCTCAAAAGTCAAAAGCCGCAGCAGCACCAACTGGTTGCAACCCACTCCAGCGCCCCAGGGTCCCTGCAGGAAGCGCCCGGAGCTGGGGCGCGCAGGACGCAAGTAACAGCGTGCCCGAGCCCTGGAGCTTCTGATTGGCTCTTTGCTGTGACTAGACCAGGCAGAAGCTAAAGCGGTGAGAGGAGAGTGCTCACCTGGGAGTTGGCGTCCCAGCCTCGCCAAGGACCTCCCGGGTTTTTGCGCTAGGGGAATACACACCCTAACTAAACTAAACATGGGGAGAAGTGGGTTAGGCTGTGGTTTCTGGGTAATTGCAGAAGAAGCCACGAGCTGTAGTAAAGCCAGGGCTCCCGAGGCAGATTACTTTGGTTCCGTAGTTTGAAAGTGTTCAGAATTGCAGGAAAGGCAGGCACCTTTCTTTTTAATTTGGGCACTCTCTTTTGGCTCTGGTAAGGAGTCCTGCTGTGTGTGTGTGCCTGTGCGTAAACTCTATGCATAATACTGTACATACGATATCTCTGCCCTAAAATTATACTGCGCAGAGAGTTTTCTGAAGAACACAATCCTAACTGGCCGCAAGGGTTCTGGGGAACCGGCTCGAAGAGCATTGAAGGAGTGGAATTTGGTGTACCCTAACTGTACACAGCTTTACTTTTCATTAAGAAAAAGATTACATAACAAAGACGAACTAGCTCTGGAGCAAGACACGAAAAGACAAAAGTAAAATTAAGAAACGTTCCGAGACATTAATGTCTTCTCCTTCTTTTAGTCTAAGTAATTTTAAATGAGAGCCATCATTTAGTAGTTTTTCATCTATGAGCACACAAATGAGATATTTATACACAAATTTTATACATACACATACCATATTATATCTGAGAGATTAAAAATGTTTGGGCGATGGGAGTTGTGATCCTAGCTCGGAGGCAGCACGGGACGGGCCAGCTCTCAGCTGTGAGTGCGCTCCCGGCTCCAGGCGCGTCCAACCTCTCCCCGAGCCGCCCGTGGCGGCGCACGTCTGACCTAGGACGGCTGGGGCACCAGCTGAAAGCCAGGTCCGCACCAGCTCACGCACTCCGCCGTTTGGGCGGTGACACACGCGAGAGTCGAATTACAAGCCCGCAGTCAGCAAATGAATTTCATGAACTTAAAAGGGGGAAGAAGGGGGAAAAGAGAAAGAAAGAAATGAGCGGGCGCCCAAGTTCCCTGCACACTGGAACTTTTCTCTGGGTGTAAAAACTCTTTGATTGGCTGCTCGCACGCGCCTGCCCGCGCCCTTCATTGGCTGAGCAGACACGCGACTGGCGCGAGGAGGGGGTTGGGAGAGGAGCGGGGGGAGACACACTGGCGCGTGCCGCTTTTTAAAGGGGCGCAGCGCCTTCAGCAACCGGAGAAGCTACGTTGCACGCGACCTGGTGTGTGATCTCCGAGTGAGTGGGGGAGGGTCGAAGAGAAGGAAAAAGAATAAGACGTTGCAGAAGAGACCCAGGCAGGGTTTTGGGGGGTTTTGTTATTGTTTTTGGTTTTGGTTGAGCTGGGTTACCAGTGCCGCCTCCGAAACTGCACCTCCCCGAGCCTTTGCAGTGCAATGTCCCGCCTGCTACATGCTGAAGAGTGGGCTGAAGTGAAGGAGTTGGGGGACCACCATCGCCATCCTCAGCCGCACCACCTGGCGCAACCGCCGCCACAGCCACCTGCCACCCTACAGGCGAGAGAGCATCCAGTCTACCCGGCGGAGCTGTCCCTCCTGGACAGCACAGACCCACGCGCCTGGCTGGCTCCCACTTTGCAGGGCATCTGTACGGCACGCGCCGCCCAGTATTTGCTGCATTCTCCTGAGCTGGGTGCCTCGGAGGCCGCTGCGCCCCAAGACGAGGCGGACGGCCGGGGGGATCTGGTAAGGAGAAGCACCAGCGACGGCAACGTCAGCAAAAGTCCAGGACCGGTGAAAGTGCGGGAACAGTTGTGCAAGCTGAAAGGAGGGGTGGTGGTGGATGAGTTGGGCTGCAGCCGCCAGAGAGCCCCTTCCAGCAAACAGGTGAATGGAGTGCAGAAGCAAAGACGGTTGGCGGCCAACGCCAGGGAGCGGCGCAGGATGCACGGGCTGAACCATGCCTTTGACCAGCTGCGCAATGTTATCCCGTCGTTCAACAACGACAAGAAGCTATCCAAATATGAGACCCTGCAGATGGCCCAGATCTACATCAACGCCCTGTCGGAGCTGCTACAAACCCCCAGCGGCGGGGAGCAGCCATCGCCGCCGCCAGCTTCCTGCAAAAGTGACCACCACCACCTTCGTGCTGCAGCCTCCTACGAAGGCGGTTCGGGCACAGCCACAGCATCTGGGGCTCAACCAGCTTCCGGAGGGGGCCAGCGACCGACCCCACCCGGGAGTTGTCGGACACGCTTTTCCGCCCCGACCTCCGCGGGAGGTTACTCGGTGCAGCTAGACGCTTTGCACTTCTCGACTTTCGAGGACAGCGCCCTGACAGCGATGATGGCGCAAAAAAACTTGTCGCCTTCGCTGCCTGGGGGCATCCTGCAGCCAGTGCAGGAGGATAGTAGCAAAACTTCCCCCCGGTCCCACAGAAGCGACGGGGAGTTTTCTCCCCATTCCCATTACAGTGACTCGGATGAGGCAAGTTAGAAAGGTGACAAAACCCTGAAAACGGAGACAGAAACAAAATTGCCCTTTCCCAGTGCGCGGGGAGCCCCGCGGTTAAATATCCCCGCACCCTTTAATTTTTGCTTTGCAATGGTCGTTGTTTAGCAACGACTTGGCTTCAGATGGCAGCTACATTTGATGGTTTGCAAAAGCCGCCGCTATTCCAAACTTCCTATGGCTCATATTGTTTGATGAAAGCTTTGCCGGTCCTTCCACCTTCTGCTTTCCCCTGTAGATAGATATGGTATAATTATATGTACCCAGATGTGGCATCATTATTATAGTCCCTTCTGCCAACACGCTGCTAAAACGTCGCATCTTTTCTGTCACTGGTTTGGGTTTAATTTATTTTATGCCCTGGGCGTCCATTCCTGTGTGTTGCGCGCACTCGTGTGGGAGAGTTAAGTCTTCTGAAGTTGTTTCCCCAAATGCATTATGAATCGCAAAGTCAATGCTTACAAAGTGAACAACTTTTGACTATGGAATTGTTAGAAAACGGGGACCTTTGCGGGTTTATATATTGTATAAACATACCCAGTATGTGTATCCGATCGCCAGAACGTTGGCGTCCTTTAGGAAACTTGGCGCACGCACTTTATCAGTCGCTGCTATTGCGGCTCCAGGAGAAATTCAACTGCCAATTGCAGACCAGTTTTTTTTTTTTTTTTTTTTTTTAAACACGGCCACTTATCATCTCTAAGCTCTTTGCAAATGTTTGTTTAAAAAAATGAAAATAAAAACATATCTAGTAGTGTCAAAAGCATTTGGTCAATTTTATTTTGCTTTGTTATTGTTAGAAAACTTATTTATTATTGAGTGTTTGCTACCATTTCTACTTATCTTGATTCATTTTTTTACATTTTCTACTCGAGATAATTTTATTTTAATTTAGTAAAGCCAACTGCCATTGTTTTATGTATTTACATTTGCAAATGATAACAATAAACTTGAAAAGGAACTTTTATTTGTCACTTACTTATTCCATCCCATTATACTATTGAAAATGATTTCTAAATAGCCTGGAAGACTTTAAGGAAGTAGTCTATCAAATCCAAATTTATAGGACCTAATATTTTAAAAGAAGAATGTTGTAAACTTAGTGCCTTTGGGTAGCATCTATACATAGAAAAGCACTTGAGTCAATAATTTAAATTGTGGGATAAAACTCTCCAAATTTGCAGCAATTTTGCCTTTTGAATAGCCAGAATTTCCAGTCTTACTCCTAGTGTTAATAGTATTTGTGAGGGGAGCCATGGTCTTTTAGGTCTTCTAGGATCTAGTTAGTAGTTAAAGTTATCAGGGTGAGCTATTTTCACTTACAAAAACTAGATAAGCCCAAAACTTTTCAAGTAGGTCAAATACACAGCACCAGCTAACTCTCCCCCCTTTTTCTCCCCGCCCCCTCTTCCTCCATACCCCCCCCCCCTTCTTTCCCGGGAGAGGGTTTCTAAGAAGGAAGGAGGATTGAGGAGGCGGGGGATAAGGGAAATTGGTGATCATTGATTCAAAAATTAGAAGTGTGCTGGTTGCTGTAGGAAATTATTAACTTCTGTTCAGTTTTTCTTTTCAAACAATTCTTCTTCCAATATAGAAACTAATGTTTTTCTTATTTTATCCTTCTGAATTGGTTTCTTTGCAGAATACATTCAACTACATTTAAAGTCAGTTGAAGAAACTTAAGGGTGTTACCACTGTCACCTCAGGTGTCCTCACTAAAGAAAATTCTATTTGAGATTTCAAGATCATAGATTCTAAAGACAATACTCGGTGTGTGTGTGCGTGTGCATGTGGGTGTGTGTTTAGAAAGTGGGATTTTAAAATATATATGTTTGGCAAACATAGAAGAACTAGGATATCACGACATTCCACTAGATAAACATCGCTGAACTTGAGAGGTTGGTTTTAAGCAAAATAATTTATGTTGTGTGTTTTCATTGGGATTTTTAAAAATTGCAGGATATGAAAGGAAGGAAGGAGAAAGAAAAAAGCTAGCAGAGGTGAGTTTGCAAGCTCCTGTATTCTCCTATCTCAGCACCTTTAGAAGGGGAGAGCACCACAAGAAAATTGACAGGCTCCAAAACCTGGGTTTGTAGAAAATGTAATGCGCTAGGAAGTACAGGTTCTGACCAACCATAGAGAACCACGGAACTTTCGACTGACCACCTGAGTATCCTTGGCTTTCAGGTGAAGCGGATCAAGCAGAGCCAAGAGCCTCACAAGCTCTCAGGGTGAGGTGAACGCTAGCTGGTGACACTTTCCAGGGACAGAAACAATGCACCTGTCCTTTAGATAACCTTTTGCACCCACCGAGTATGCTGTGCTATGATAAGCATCAGGAATCTTTGGGCTGTTGAATAAATCAAGCAATTGCTTATAACACACTTCCATCTCACTCTCAATAAACAAGCCAAACAGGCATGGCTATAGAGCAACCTTGTAGAATGAGAAAACACATATTTTAATAGCTACTTTGTTCGATGTGTTTTGCTGTATGTGTAGAGACAGAGAGAGAAGAGGACCTAAAATCTTCTACCTGTTAGTGGTAAGGACCGGAGGAAGAAAAAATGTGACTGTTTTTCTCAAAGTAAACAATTGTATTTCATTTTTCAAAATCATTTATGCTCATTTTGTATCAACCACAGAAGGAAAACATCTCATCAAAATCATTACTTTTAATGGATTCAGAAATTGCAAAACAGAGAGGACATCAGGAACATCTTCCTTCACACTTTTCATAAATGAGGAAATTTCTGCCCATAATTTGTCCTCAAATCACAAAGCCAGAAAGGGTCAATATCCAAAACTAGATCTTAGTATTCCTGTTCACCAGATCGATGCTCCCACAGAACGTTTCTCTAAGAACATCAATGGACAGGAGCTACAGCTATCTACATGCTGCAGTGGGGACTGTGTCATCATAAGCAAATATTTATACTTTTAAATGCTAGTGGAATTATATAGGGGATAACCCCGTTTTCACTTAAGGAAGTTCTTTATATTTCTTCTCAAGAGAAAAACAACCATATCAGACTGGAAGTTCTATATCACACTGATTAAAGGCTTAACATGAATGCTTCTAACCCATCCAGACATGAACAAAAAGTCAAACTACTTTGTGGTAAATTGAGTGCTCAAAGTTCAAATGAGAACTTTAACCTCTTTTTCCCCTTTTATTTATTTATTTTTTTATGCTGGCATTTCTTTGAAAAAGATGTACAATCACATTTCCATTTTAAGGTTCTGTTATGGAGTTTGCATAACAAACGTTTGGCAGCTCGCTCTCTTACACTCCATTAACAAGCTGTAACATATAGCTGCAGGTTGCTATAATCTCATTAATATTTTGGAAACTTGAATATTGAGTATTTCTGAGCGCTCATTCCCCATATGCCAGACCACTCCTGCCATGCTGACTGGTTCCTTTCTCTCCATTATTAGCAATTAGCTTCTACCTTCCAAAGTCAGATCCAAGTATCCAAGATACTAGCAAAGGAATCAACTATGTGTGCAAGTTAAGCATGCTTAATATCACCCAAACAAACAAAGAGGCAGCATTTCTTAAAGTAATGAAGATAGATAAATCGGGTTAGTCCTTTGCCACACTGCTGGTGTTTTCTTGAATTTTCTATACTTTAAGTAGCTTGCTTTATATTCTGCCTTTGCCTTCCAACCCATCACTGCCTTATTTGTGGAGGGTTTTGGCTGGCCACACTTTTGGAAACTTATTTGATTTCACGGAGAGCTGACGGAAGATTATTTTTGGCAACTGGCAAGTTTAACACCTTCTTTATGGGATATTGCCAACTGGGGTCTAGACGGGAGGGAGGGGGGAAAGAGAGAGAGAGAGAGAGAGAGAGAGAGAGAGAGAGACTAATTTCCTTAATCTTAACTTAATCTTAACCAATGCAGGACCAATACTTTCATGAGGCCTTTCTATTGACTTTAGAAATTTAAACCTGAACCAAGTAAGCAGTGTTTTGTTAAAGCATATCTTGTAATATTTCTCTCCTGTGTCCAGTTGAAAAACTGAAGAAAAAGATTATCAACTTTATCCGACCTGCCCCAAACCCCAAAAAGAACAGGAAAGGGAAAGTAGAGGACCCACTTGTCAATGACAAACTTGTCAACTGCAATCTAGAAGGAAAGAAAAAAAATATAACAGTTAAGTTCTGGTGAGAGTTAAATATGACCGGTAGTAGCTGAAATGTTTGCAATTATTTTGTGAGAGGGGGTGGGACCCCAGGCAGGGGAGATAAAATAGAGGTATGCGTTTTCCAACCGCCCTGGCCACTAGGCCAAGCAGAACCCACACCATAGAAGTTTCCCGTCCTTTCTTCTAGGCCCCTAACAAGAAAAGGCAAAGGGAGTGGAGAACGGGTTAAATCCTTGGACGCAGGGGAGAGGCAGGGGAGGAGAGAAGTCGGAGGAAGATAAAGAAAAGGACAGGAACCCAGAAGCGTGGGGGTAGTTTGCCGTAATGTGAGTGTTTCTTAATTAGAGAACGGTTGACAATAGAGGGGCTGGCAGAGGCTCCTGGCCGCGGTGCGGAGCGTCTGGAGCGGAGCACGCGCTGTCAGCTGGTGAGCGCACTCTCCTTTCAGGCAGCTCCCCGGGGAGCTGCGCGGCCACATTTAACACCATCATCACCCCTCCCCGGCCTCCTCAACCTCGGCCTCCTCCGAGTCGACAGCCTTCCTCGACCCCCCACCGGCAGAGCTTACAGAAGCCAGCGCCTCTCGCCGCCTCCCGCACTGGGCCGGGGCCCCTCTCCTCCCCCAGCCTCGCAGCGGGAGCCGCCACTGCCCACTGCACCTCCCAGCAACCAGCCCGGCAAGAAAAGAAGCTGCGCAAAGTTAAAGCCAAGCAATGCCAAGGGGAGGGGAAGCTGGAGGCGGCGGTGGCGGCGGGAGAGCTATGGGGTTGTCCAGGAAAAGTGGGGCCGGGGGCTGAGGCACCTGAAGCAGTGAACCAAGACTGGGAAGCAAGTGCATCCTCCCGCGCAAGGCTCCCCACGAACCCGGGAGACTACCGGGCCCAGAGCAAGAAGTTGAAGATCCAGTTCCCTCTTCTAACCAAATATTTATTGTCTTGGGCCCTCTGTTATTCTAAAGAGAAAAAAAAAATATGCTGTTAAAATTCTCAGAGTTTAAACGTTAATCGAGAAGACGTCGCTGCACAGACCTTGTCTTCCACATGTCAATCCACAGGGCCCTCGCTTCCTTTGACTCCTTAGGAAGAGCTAAGAATTTCAGTACAAAGATTTTAGGCCTTTCTACATCCCAGGGTTCCTTTCCCTGTTTCAGCTCTGCTTTCTCTGGTCCCAAACAAGCAAATTATGAGGCTTATGTTGCCAAATCGACAGAGAGGCCTGGCCCATTTTACCAAGTTCATACTTTTTTCCCAGGAAAATCAGAAGGTTCCTCCACAGGATGAAAACAAAATGCTATCCAGTGCAAGTATTATTATTACTTTTTTAAAAAAATCTGATTGGAGAATCAAAAGATCTGATGAAAGAAATGGTATCCTAATGGCCAGCTGTTTCACCAGGCTCCAGAGCCCAGCTACTGTCCCCATAATGAAGAACAGTATCAGCTGGGATCTGGGGCATATCTTGGGATTTTTCAGGCCAATTGATGTGGAAGTCAATTCTCTTTTGGATGCTCTTTTGGACCACTGGACACTTATTTGTCTCTTCTGGAAACAGATCTCAGCAATCCCACCCATCTTTGGGCCTCTTAGCTGCAGTGTTGGAGAGGGAGAGGCTAGGATTAGAAGGGATCCTTAATTACCTAGGGTCCCATGTGAGATGGCAATTGAAGAAAGACCAGGCATGTTCTTTCTATTTTAGAGGCCACAAAACTAGGTGAAGTACCTGGGCCCCTGGTAAACCTGGAAGGGGGAAGGCTAGGTCTTTTTATTTTCCATAATAGCATTTGCTCCTGGAAAAAC